GGCCTCAAGGCAAGATGTGTTGCTGATGCCCCCACCACACCCCTGATTCAGGCCCTGGATCTGTGGGGTGGGAGTGGGAGGAGACCAGTGGCATCTCCTGCACCCTCATTGGTGCACCAGCCATGTGCAGGTCAGCCTGGCTGCCTGGCCGTGCTGTGGTGCAGATGGATTTGAGGGCTTCCCCATCTCAGTTCTGCTTCCCAGCCAGCACTGGGAGCATTCAGAGTCCCCCAGGGTCCCAGGAGGAACGGTGCAAATAGCATCAAATGCGAAGCTGTTGGATATTCTCTCTCTCTGTTTGTTACAGAAACGGAGAAGAACTGAGAAGAAGTTTCAAGAAGCAGCAGAAGGCTGAGATTGTTTTGTCTGTTTTATGGATAAAGCTTGTTGCAGGAAACCCCCCCCCATCATTCAGTTTGTACAAACATGACACACACACAGTCACACAAATCAGCCAAGCATTGGATCTGTACCATTCCACTTTTATTTTACACCATGAAGGAAGGGCTATCAAAGGGGGGAGACTTGACACAAGGCAGCCAACATGTCCACAGCGAGCCCTACCCAGTTGGCATGCCAACCTTGATGGTCCTAGACAGAAGATCGTTACACTCACAAAGGACCTGCATATGGAAGTGGATTCAGCACGGACTGAAACAAAGGACAGTGACCAGCCCTTCCCTCTGGGGGCAGGAAACTGCAAACTCCTCTTTGTCCTCAGGAATGTAATCATGGGGAGGGGGAAAGGAGGAACCGGACAGGTGACAAGACACTCAGGTTACCACCACAACTCCTCCCTGAACCCCTCCTCTTTGTGATGTGTCAATGATGTAGTCATGATGTAGTTTTAGGGGTGTAGCATGGGGGAGTAGTAGCTAATAAAAGTTGAGGTCTTCTTTTGTTCTGGGCTTCCATCTTGTTCCACCTTGTGGCAGGTGGGAGTCCTGTTGTCATAGTCTTCAATAAAGACCAAGCCTACTGGCTGCTGTTTTGCTCTGGTATTCCTGGCTGGTGTCCTTGTTTTTTTGTCCAAGGTAGCCCTCAGATTTCTCCGTTAACAAGCTCACATCAAATGATACAGTAAACCAAAAGGTGGACAGGGGAACAGTGTTTGGCCCATATCTCACCCTAGCAGCCATCTCCAAAGTTACATAACCAGGAAACTGGGAAACCCCCCAAGGGGCTGCAAGTGTGTCAGGGGTCTGTAACTGGTTGCAGGGGTTGCTCATTGATAGAAGACCCCCCAATGCTTATCAAAGAGTGGAATTTGGAGAAGATCATGAAGAACAGATCTGGAAGGGAGGAGGAGACGGGTAATCAAAATGCCTGGAGAAGTAAATAAAACGTGTCTGAATAGGAATGGCGGGTCAAGACAGGCAATTCACAAAGTATCCTGATGGACAAGTTTGGAAATCATGGCATCACACATGCTCCAGTTTCGCTGAACAATTCCCCCTTCCATGACATTTTGTGATGTTCTCAATACGTTTTGGGTGGGTGGTCATACCGATAGGAAGGGGGGGCTGGACCCTTTCTGAGGTTTTAAAAGTTGCTCCCCGCTTTCCTCAAGGCTCTTCTTTCTGCTGCTGGAGGGAGGGAGAGTCTATAGCAACAGATTAAGAAAGATCGGGCTTAAGTAGCTGTTTCCCTTTCCCTGGTTGTCGATTCTATTCGCTTCCTCTGACCGACAGCGGACATTGCGGGGTCTTGGGTCCCTTGAGAGGGAGTTGGGCTGCAAAAGCAAAGCCTGGCTCTTTTTTTTTTTTGGTAACAGGTTCATGAAATGGTGGTGTTTTCATGATAATGGCTCTCTTTGAGGAAAGGACGAGGGAACAGGGGAAGGAGAGGTGGCTAATGTTTTTGAGAATCTTCATCACTAAGTCAGTTATTGAGCTTAGAACAGTCCTGCGGGACAGACCTCTAAGGGCAGTCTGCCCCACCTGGGAAAAAACCTCTAGGTCAGTTTGCATTTCTTAGGGCAGAAAGTACAGTGGTGCCTCGCAAGACGAAAAGAATCCGTTCTGTGATTCTCTTCGTCTAGCGGTTTTTTCGTCTTGCGAAGCAAGCCCATTGACAGATTAGCTTATCGGATCAGCTGATAAGCGGCTTAGCGGCTTAGAAAAAGGGGGGGAGGAAAAAACCCCCGCAGGAACTCGCAAGACATTTTCGTCTTGCGAAGCAAGCCCATAGGAGATTCGTTTTGCGAAGCACCTCCAAAACGGAAAACTCTTTCGTCTAGCGAGTTTTCCGTCTTGCGAGGTATTCGTCTTGCGGGGCACCACTGTATTGATCTGATGTGTAGAGATCTTTCCTATTCTAATTCATTCAAGAGGTTTGTGGAAGTTTCTCTGTGTGAAAGAAGCAAGCAGAAGGTTCATGTGTTGTTTGGGTGATTCCTTCAGAGACGCTGAGTACAGCTGGCTTAAACTGGTTCTGTTATCTCTTTCTCTCAAGGTCATGCTGACTATAAGAAGAGGCCAGAAGGAGACTGGGTTTCACTTTCTCTTTCTCTCTCTCTTCCTTCCGGTGTGGTGCTCTGTACATAGTATGCTTAGTGTTAAGGTTTTAGTCTTATTATAAGTTACTGTAAGTTTAAGTCTGCTGCAACTGGATTTCTTGTGGGCAGGCCCAATCCCGAAGGTTTTGGATTTGTGACCGTTATGCTCATCTGCCTTCAGTAGCAGTAAAGCTCTGCTGGATGAAATTGCCTCTGGTCTATTTTTGGGGGATCCTGCAACGTGTTTAAGTTTTTACTCTGCTAACTATACATTGGAGTTCTGCTCTGGATCAGCATATTGGGCAGAATTTCATGACACTCTAATCAACAAATGGCAGAATGCAGCAGGTAAAAAACTTCAACAGCAGGCAGATTAAAATACGGAAGGGTTATAAAGTCAAGCACAGATTGCAATGTACCTCAAAAACAGTTTCCATTTTTATTGAGGAAAAGCCTAACAGCCATTACATTTATATTCCATTTTCCCCTCCTCCTCCAGGAAGCTCAAGGTGAAATACGTAGCTCTCCCTCTCCCAGTTTTATCCACACAACAACCGTCTGAGGTAACCAGGACATTCTACAGCTTATCACAAATATGTATCTTTCGTAAGTAACTTGTCAGTTGTTTTAACACAGAGAATCATAGAACCGTGAAGTTGGAGGGCCATCTAGTCCAACCCCCTGCTATGCAGAAATGACAACTAAGGAATCCCTGAAGAGATGGTCACCCAACCTCTGTTGTAAAACCTCCAATGAGAGTCTACCACCTCCTGAGATGATCCATTCCACCTAACTTTGGACAGCTTTGTTAGGAGTTAAAATCTTGCAATGTGGGAAGCGTTGGATGATTCTATGATAAGCTTGAATAGTTCTGTCTATAGGTTCCCTGAGAGGCAAATACTTGGCTGAAAGCTATGAGGTGATGCAGGGACTGTGGGAGTGATGCTGTCGGAAATCAAGCCTTTATCAGGAGAAACTGGCAACTCTCCCAGGCACCCGGCTTGGTCTCCTGTTGACCTCCCTGTCTGCTTTCCCGGCAAGATCCAGGCAGAGGTCGCGATAGGCGATCCTTCTCAGCGTGAGAAGAACACACCACTCTTTCCTGCCCCCCCGGCAGGGGAAAGAGATAGACAGAAACGTATTTACATGCCTTTATTTCTGTCTTTGCAGCATTACAGAAAACATGACTGCTTTCTTCAAACTCCAACAGCCGAGAGACAAACTCCTCCTGTACTTCCTGTACAGCTCATATTACACTCTGAGCTAATTCCGGTGCCCTCTGCACTGTGAACTGACTGCCCCTCTGTTTCCCACAGAACAGTCCCAACATTCCCATTATGTTTTGCTTTCAAGCTAGCAGTAGCTCACAGCTGCATTGCTTCAATATCGTAACAGATGCTCCACCTGTGCTAAGGCACACCTCGCACCTGGCATGCCACAGCGTGCCAAGGAGCCTGGCGGCCACTCTGCCTGAACTCTAGCCTCTTGGCCAGAAGACAGGGTTTCCCCCTGATCGTCTGTCCTCTCACAGATTTGGTTACTAGACATAACACTTGGCTGGAGCATGACCGGGGACGCAGATGTAATCAAGTATCGGGGAAAACATTTTCGGGAAACACCTGCTGACACGTGTATTTGACAACGCTGGAAATGTGCTTAGATGGAGATGTATCATGTTCAGAGTGGTTTCCAATTGTTGACTTCTGCACAGCTAGACTCTGCACAGCTAGACGGCAGCCTGCTTGGAGAATGCTTGCCAGCTTGTTCCTGCACAGCTCACCTGCATCCAACCTCCCGTCATCCTCCGTTCTTCCCACAGGGACCAATAAGTATTTAGAACTACACTTCTCTCTCTCTCTCTCTCTCTCTCTCTCTCTCTCTCTCTCTCTTGTTCCTCCCCCCATTACTAACAACCCAAAAGTGTGGTAGCAAGGGATTACACCATACCATACCCAGAGCAAGCAAGCAAGCAAACAAACAAACAGTAAGAGAAAGAAATATAAATCTAGACACCCATATTTCCCAAACTGGTATGGATGGCGAATGTTGAGCATCGAAGTTTGAAGCATAGAGAATAAAATCCCACCAGCTGACATAAAAATGTTCTGGATCCCCCATCCCCTGGGAAACATGCAATTTATGTGTGATTTTTTCCACAATGGCCAAAATCCATATGTTCTTACATTACAATGACAAATGTAGATTTTTTTCAAGGTTTCCCATTAATGGGCTATTGAAATCCTGGCTGCAGCAAAAATCCATGTCAAGAACTCTTCAACAAGCTGTCATGTGTAGTCCATCCACATATTCTGTAATGACAGTTGTGAGGAAGCCTGAACAGGCAAATTAATTATTTTAGATATTTCTTGGTATACTTGAGACAAGAATAATTAAACTTGAACCATACTTCTAATAACTGAGGTACCCAAAGCTTGGAGGCTCCACCTGGCAGGGGCATCTAAATGCAGATTCTCATCTTTTGGGGGTCTAACACCAGTTGGAGTCATGTCTCAACCTTGACTCCTTTCGGGTAGAATGGCTTCAGTACTTGCTCCCGTATCTGCTTTGTTTTCATGCCATAGATGATAGGGTTGAGCATGGGGGGCACTAGAACATAGAGGTCAGCCAACAAGATGTGGATGTGGGCAGGGATGTGGTGCCCCCAGCGTTGTGTGTAAAAGGAGAAAAGGGCAGGAGTGTAGAAAATCAGGATGACACAGATGTGGGAGCCGCAAGTGCCGAAGGATTTCTGTCGGGCCTCCTTAGAGGAGAGCCCCATGACTGCCCTGAGAATGAGCACATAGGAGACAGCAATGAAGATGGTGTCTGAGCCCACCACGAAGGTGGCTGCCGTGATCCCATAGATGTGGTTGGGTGTGATATCTCCACAAGCCAACTTGACCACGGCCATGTGCTCGCAGTAGGAATGGCTGATGACATTGGGCCCATAGTATGGTAGATGGCTCACCATGCAAGTCAAAGGGGTCATTAAGCCAATGCCCCTCACGACGGCTGCACACCCAATCTTGGCAATGACAGAGCTGGTGAGGATGGTGGTGTAGCGTAGAGGGGCGCAGATGGCCACGTAGCGGTCAAAGGCCATCGCGAGCAGCACCCCTGACTCCACAGCTGAGAAACCATGGATGAAGAACATCTGGATGACACAGGCCTTGAAGCCAATGGAGTGGGACCGGAACCAGAAGATGGCCAGGATCTTGGGCACCGTGGAGGAGCACAGCACCAAGTCGAGGGCGGCCAACATGCACAGGAAGTAGTACATAGGCAAGTGGAGGCTGGGCTCCTTCTTGACCACAAAGAGGATGGTCAAGTTGCCCAGCAAGGCTACTAAGTACATGGAGCAGAAGGGGAAGGCCATCCAAAAGTAAGCAGCTTCCAGGCCAGGAATGCCCACGAGGATGAAAACGGAGGGGTTGCTGTTGGAGCGATTGTTGCACGCCATGGCTTCCACCTGGCTCCCAGAACCATTTCATAGCCTGCTGTTAAGGTGAAAAGGAAGTTAGGCAGTGCTACTATGCTTGCTGCTTATGGTTAGGTGAGACCAAGGAGGTTAGGAACATACAGTAGTGTTTTAACACTTGGTCTTCTGCATCAACTCTCTTTGAGGTAGAAATTCATCAAAAGCCATTATCAGTAAGGCCACTTTCATATCTTCAAGTGTATGGCCTAACCACAAAACTAGGAGCAAGCAGTTTAGGAGGAACTTCATTGATTGCTGATGTGCGGAACGTTCACCCTGGGAATGAACATCCAGTTCTTAAGAGCTCCACCCCAGAGGTGGAAAATGAGACCAAAACTGGAGCAGCTTATTCCTCTACCACTTTTTTTTAAAAAAATAACAATACTATGAGCTACAGAGTCATTATAAGAATCAAGATCCTCCATCAGGCTAGGGGCGCTGTTCACCCCTTTCCACTAAGTCCTGTACCAGAATAGAGATGTTGAGTTTGGAAATTGTGGTAGGTCTACTTATACCCCTAACCCCCATGAATAGCTAGCAGTTCTGGCAATGTTAACAGGGAGGTCTGGATCATTAGCTGCCTCCCTTCCTTGGAGCCAGTTTTCAGTGGCCTCCTCAGCTGCTGGCATCACCCTTCTTCTCCCCTCTGTTGTTACCTTATCATGGGCTCCTCAGCGAAATTCCAGCTGCCCCATGCTCTCAAGCAGACAACTGGGGCCATCTCAGTTGTTGCCCTTCCCAAGGTCTGTTGGAGATGCTGCCTGGCCACACTTTTGCCTGTGCTTGTGCTCTGATGCTGGCCGTGTCCTTTTGGGTTTCTGCAGCCACATGCGGAGAACCTTCCGCAAGCCAGTTGGGAGCGGAGGAAGTTATACTCTCTACTGAAACTCCTAGGGGGACAGCAGCTTCAGCCCAGAGCCCATGAGATCATCAACATTAACTGCATCAATTTTGTCATCACCGAGCTCATGAAACAGCTATGTGAAAGGAAGCACGTTATGTAGTGCATAACTAAATTATGGAGCTCACTTCCACAGAAGGCAGCGATTGCCACCAACCTAGATGGCTGTAAGAGAGGATTGGACAAGTTCGTGAAGGAGGAGAGGGCTCTCAACGGCTTCTAGCCATCATGGTTCTGCTTTGCCTCCACAGTCGCAGGCAGAAATGCTTCTGAATACCAGTTGCTGGAAACCATGGGAGGGAAGAGGGTCCTGCTGGGGTGCTTCCTACTGAGGCATCTGGTTGGCCAATGTGAGAATAGGATGCTGGACTAGGGGGGCATTGGCCTCACCCAGTAGGTTCTTCAGGGAGCTCTATTTGTAGGTTTGCAAGCCACCATCAGAGTTCCTGCAAACCATCAGCGAACCACAACTTTGTATTGGTGAACTGCAGCAAATATTACCAAGTTCCTCTAGATCAGCCTTTCGCAACCTGTGGGTCCCTAGATGTTGTTGAACTACGACTCCCATCAGCCCTAGCTAGCAAGGCCAGAGCTCAGGGAGGATGGGAGTTGTAGTTCAACAACATCTGGGGACCCACAGGTTGAGAACCGCTGCTCTAGATACAATTAAAAATCATACCAACCTGATTCCGTGTTTTAAAAACATAAAGGATGCTCAAGTGGAAAGGAATCGACACTCTCTTCTGCAATGGCTGCGTTCAGATGATTCTCTGAAGTCAAGACAAGGGCATCTTCTTAGTTCCTAGTTCTGGGGTAGGGAACATTTGGCCTTCCAGATGCTGTTGAACTAAGACTCCCATCAGTCACAGCAAGCATAGCCAATGGCCAAGGATGATGGGAGTTCTAGTTCAGTAACTTCTAGAGGGACAAAGGTCCACAATGAACAACCTCGCTGCAGAATGTACAGAATTCATCCCTTCAGTTCTTGCCTTCACTGGTATTTTTGTGGTGTGGAGGTTTTTTGGCTAAACTTGAGGTTTTCCCTCCAAGCAGTGGAGGTTTCCCCACCACCTAGTGTCCCTGTCATTGCTTGAATGGTTTTAGCAGGCATTGCTGGAGTCAGGGATGAGCAGAAAATTTGCAAGTTTGCCGATGACACCAAATTACCATCATGATGTAATCAAAGCCAGAATGTGGAGAACTCAAAAGCCATCTCTTTAAGTGAGTGGGTGTGCGTCAGTAAACGAGGGGAATTAAGACTAAGAGAGCTGAGTGGGGGGTGCTCGTGTAATCTCACTGTATACAAGTTGTACAAGTGACAATAAAGTATTTCAAAGGTGACATCACAGGCCAAGACTTGAGGAAGAACAGGGCCATAGACTCACCTACAAAGGTCTACATGGGCATCCCGACTCCTTTTACAACACCCTCTTCTGAACACCCTCTCATAACTTTCATTTACTGTCTTTGCACCTTCAGTACAAATGCCATAATTTCCACCCTCCCCTCCAGAGGAACTTGGACAGGAAATTTGGGTGTCTAACCCAAAGTTTTCACAGTCAATAATGGTCTCTGGTACAAATGATATCAGATTATCAGAGGCTGCAATGACAACAGTGGTTTTGCTCTCATGGCTGGTCTTTGCAGTTAAGGGTCCCCAAAACCAATGTACAATAGTAACATATCATTACAAATAAATTAGGATTACAACTGCGAACACATTTACCAGGCGATAAGCCCTGCTGAACACATAGTCAAAGGAACAGAGGACGGTACCTTTTGACCCGGTCAGCCCATTGGTCCATTTAGGCTAGTATTCTCTGCACTTGAGTGAAGGATCGAACAGAATTTATTATGAACCCCAACTTTGTGTAGAAAACTAACAAGCCTGTTTGCAAAATGAACCCGAAGCCTAAAGCCTATAAAAAGGAAAAATTAACTTTCTGCAAGTTGAAGGGTGAAGGAAAGTTTAGGATAACAGACTGACCGATTGAACCTGGTCTCTGGAATTGGCAGAGTTTAGCAGTAAGGAAACAATTATATTTTAAAAAAATTGGAATCTGCTAAAGCTTGCTAATGAGGATTCGTATGATCTTCTACCTTGAATGCAAAAATAGCTTATCTAGCATTTGGAATGCTTCATTAGAACAATTGTTGACATATATCCAGCTGTGTTTCCAGCTTGTTAGTAGCAACACAGCAGAATATATTGCTTTGATTGCTTTAAAGTTTGTAAACTTGCTATAGGAAGAGAGCCTGAGCAGGATATACCATGTACCTCAAGAAGTACCCTCAAAACTGAGTAGAAAGCCTGTCTGACCAATACGATGAATAGAAAGTCCTGCAAGCTAAAAACTTATGAGTGAACCATGAGTGAACTATTTCTTAGGAAGGTTACTGTGAGTGTAAGAAGATGGGCAGATTCAAGGGAGAGGAAGTGTGTTATCTAAGGAAAGTTGAAAGACTTGTTTGAAGATTATAAGCCTGGAGGGAGGAATCGGTACTGCTTGCTTGCCAAACAATATCCTGTATATCCAAACTATACAGTGTCAGCTGTTCAATATATCATACAACTTCTTGGCACACTGCATGTCCTGGTTCATAAATCATGTCTGAATTCTGGACTGCAATACAATACGTTTATACAGTGGTACCTCGGGTTACAGACGCTTCAGGTTACAGACTCTGCTAACCCAAAAATAGTATCTCAGGTTAAGAACTTTGCTTCAGGATGAGAACAGAAATCGCGTAGCGGCAGCAGCAGGAGGCCCCTTAGCTAAAGTAGTGCTTCAGGTTAAGAACAGTTTCAGGTTAAGAACGGACTTCCAGAATGAATTAAGTAGTTAACCCAAGGTACCACTGTACATCATATAGACTTGCCTTCTAAAAGCCTATACAGTGGTACCTCTGGATACGAACGGGATCCGTTCTGGAGCCATGTTTGCATCCTGAAGCGAACGCAACCCGCGTCTGTGTGTCTGCGAGTGCGTGGGTCGTGATTCGCTGCTTCTGCGCATGTGCATGATGTCATTTTGAGTATCTGTGCATGCGTGAGTGACGAAACCCGGAAGTAACGCTGTCAGGGGCTCAGGAGCAGAGACACAGGGGAGAGAGGGGATGGAGAGCGAAGGGGAAGAATCTGAGGGCAGCATAGGGAGTATGAAAGCGGCCCGAGAGATTCCATGAGTCTCTCCAGCGAATCAGAAGATTCCCAGAGGGGGGCGCCGATGGCCAGGGCAAGGGGGGTCCCAGGGGGGACACACCAGAAGCAAGGGGCCAGCGGGGACTCCCAAAGCAGCAGAGGGAGAGCAGGACCAGCTCCTCCACCAGAGCGTAGTGAGGGGGAAGAGTCACATGTATCAGGGCCAGCTTCTCCTCCAGCAGGGAGAGAGGATGAGTCGGAGGTGGCCACGCCTCCATCGCAGAGTGAGGGAACGGAGGGAGAGTCAGGTGCAGCTAGCCTCCCCGAAGGGGGAAGCAGTGACAGGAGCAGTGTAACGGTCAGGAGGAAGGTGGCCGGCTGGGCGCGCGCGCCAAGTTCGAATGTACAGGCGCGCGGCACAGCAGGAAACCCGGATGGGGAACCAGGTCCTAAAGCCCGCCGGAGGGAGGGGGAGGACTCAGGAGACTCTGCGTCAGAAGAGTCTAGGAGAGGCGAGACCCCAGCGGACAGGCGGGCCCAGAGGAGAAGAGAGCAGAGGAAGAGGTGGAGCAAGGCTAGAGTCTTAAACTGGTGTCTGGGGGGAGGAGACTCAGACGGAGCTTCGGCGGTCTAGAGTTTGAGACGTAGAGCTGCGCGCCGCGGCTGTGAAAAAGAAACTGAGCTTCAATAAAGACTGTTTTATATAACAACGAACTGGCGTTGGTCCTTTGTGAGCTGGGACCTAGGGCAGCTCTGACAGTAAGCTCCGTCTCCAATTCAACCCTCGCAGCGTGAATTGGCGCAGTGAGGGGCAAAACTTGGTGTTTTGCGAGCTCATGAAGATCGGCAAAGATGACTACCGAAGACAAAGTGGAAGAGCTGCAAGCAGCAGTCATGACGCTTTACGCAGAGGTAGCAGCATCCAAAAAGAGGGAGGAA